ATTAGAAATGAATAAATTCTGTTGCTGAATACAAATGTTGGCACAATGCAAAATTTTGTTCGTTGCCATTTGGGCAGTTATCTCTTATTAAATTATTACTATAAGTGGGGGAAAAACGTATAATAATAAGGATATCATGAAAATACCGAAATGTATGCACTCAGGCAGCACAGGATTGCATCAACCAATACGTATACGATCATTGTACTGCCTTTGTGGATACTTTGCAGTATTCTCGTGATAATCTCATAACACGTGTTCCAGCCATGAATTAATAATTAGACTCAACTTCGGCATATGTTTCAGTAAAACTGCATCATATGGTTAAGATGGTTTCTACGCTTGAGTCTTGGTAAGCATGGAGTAATGTGAATACTGATGACGAAGTAAGATAGTAAGACATGTGATTAAGATCAAAGTGAGCGAGGTCAGGTTTATGACGTACAGCAACAAAATACTGACATCATTACTTGGTTACCTTGCATTACAGCATTATCTCTAATAGCATTATTAAAAAATAAAACCTTGATATTAACTGGTTGCCATGGAAACAAGTCCAGAGGGAATGAAACATTAATGAAGCCATACTATAAATTCAGGCTGTCTCTATAGCAACTTCTTTCAAGATCATCCAAAAAACTCAAACGGGTAATTATATTCTTGAATTTCAGAAAACAGCATTTTGTAGCCCCTCTGGGGTAGATGACATTGCCATGGTAACCAAAGATCAGAATTCATATGAAAGATTCTTCGCACATTGTAAGAATAGAACATTTTTTTTAAGATTACATGAAGTAGTTTATATTAAATACTGTGTACTTCAATACTGAGAAGGAAAACAAAGGTTTAATAGCTTAATAAATAATCATGATTTTTGAAAACAAATACATAATTCCCTGAATGTAGATTTACAAACGCCCATAAAAAATTTGGATTTGTTCGTGATTATATTAAAAATTTGTTCATTTATCCAAACTTTTAAAATGCCTTAGCCTAATTATGAAGACAAAATCTGAATGTTTTGAATGTAATATCAAGGTAGTCAGATGAGACATCCAAGGCAAGCACGTCCACAATTCTAATTTGCATTAAAGTTGCACTGTCAACAAAATATTGCTTGAAGCCTTCGCCATGTGAAGTACATGTAATATGCAAAATAGATTTGAGTTTCTCGTCAATAGCCGAATATCACCAAGTAATTCTGAGAATTCAGTTGTGATAGCCTTTTCAGTACCTATGACTATCAAGTTACCAAAAATACATTTAGGATTCTCTGTTTCACAATCAAAAATTGAATATTTTGCTAAATCAGTAATTAAAGTATTTTCTATTAAGATTATCTGAGATGCACACCAAACTATTGAGCCGTTTCCTGTATCGCAGTTTCCTCCCCTTTGAATTATAAGACAACCACGATAAGTCCAAGTGCCACAACCACTGCATCGTACATCCATGTTCAATAAAAGTCTCATTATGCAACGTGTATGTGTATGTTACAGAAATTCAAATGCACTTTGTGAACTTTGCTGTATTAACGTTTTTGATTGAACAATCATAATTTGTCAGCGTTCAACTCATCGCACAACATCTTAATCACTATTAAAATATCTTTGACCTAAATTTTGTATTAACTTACATGTAGTTGAAAAAAACACATTTAAATTAAGTGACTGAACGTGCAAAACAATAAAAAGAACTGCATTTAAGTAGATCCCTGAAAAACTAGCATTTTTTTGACAGTAAGGATTCTCTAGATTAGTTTGCAGTCGGAGTTACGAATGAATTACCTATTTTACGAGACTAAGATATACTGAGGAACGGTTGCCATGCAATAAAACGGAAATTAATTTAGTATAGCTATAAAGGCGGAAAGAAAAGTCATGTGTTGCAAAAACAAGTGTTGCATATATTTCGCTACCTTACACTATTCCTTACCATGATGCTACAGTACTTTCTTGTTCTGCACACGACAATCATACATGTATTATTTCTCAATTTGTGTCAGGTGACTGTTGGAATCTTATCACAAATCAAATTTTCCATTTTTTGAGACTACACTATGCTTTCTGCTGTCATTAGTAATGTACCGGTAGTAACTCAAGCTGAATCAGTAATAATTACATTACTGTAAAAGGGATAATTATTCACTGGGTTTTAATTTTGCTTATTTCGCTGACTGGAAAATGCGCTAAATTAAAACCCAGTGAATATGTAAAATTTAGCATAGAACACATTATCTAAATGATAAAACCGTGAATTTAAAACCCTTTGAATAAGTCTGAAATGGTAAATCAGCGAAATTTTAACCCATTGAAAATTAGTCATTTTACAGTATGATGATTTCTTTTTAATTATCATATTTGCTAATGACAGGGCTTTGCAGGTATAATTAACATTTTTCCAGTTGAATGCAGTATCCCTACATCATCCACGGTTGGCCAAACAACCACCTATGAATCCCCCCCCCTCCCAGTCACTACTTGTATGCAATCTTGGTGAGGGGCACTAGACTCCTAGTGAAGATGTTGACCGATTTTATTCAATTCATATTCTGATATGACCTTGTCCTTATTACAATGTACTTGCCACATCGGCCATATTCTAATTATTATTTTATTGTTTTGTGAGCAAGTATGAAGAGGTTATTATAAGAATACCGGTAATATACAGTGATGATGTCAACTTTTTTTAACAGACCCTGTCCTGCTTGCAATGTGCTTGAGCAATCGTTATGTTAGAGTACTGATGCTGTGTCCCGGGTAAACAGATTAAAGAATTGGTGAATGTTACATAAATGCGATACATTTTTTTCAAACAAGACAAACAATACACAAAACACTATTGGTGTTTACGGATGGCAATGAATTAAATTGTTCTGTCTGACAGATGTCAATATTTGTTTTTATTCACGACTTCTATATTTTGCAACTGTACTTTATATATTAGGTGGAACTCAAAACCTAAAACTGACTGAACTTAATATTTAAACAAGCATAGGAAAACAAATTCAAT